AAACCCTTCAATGGATGCCATTTTGCCTAGTCTCCTTCTTATTGACAAATCATGAACACTGCCTTTAACTAAGGAAAGTGAAACATTCCAAAAAATTATTCCAATATTTTCACGATTTAATGAGAGGGGCAATTACATTTCAATATATGACCAGGTAGGTTTAGATAGTTTCTTTTAGATAAATGGATTTCTAGTTGTGGTGTTTCTCAACATGAAAACTTCCCTCAATCCTATACGTAGCTTGAATATTCAAATGCATTATAAAGTGCTAAAGAACAGAGGCTAAAACCCCATACCCGACCTAGAAAATGATCAAGTCATTGTTATAGAGGAAGTGGAATTGAAGGCTCATCCATTCCGTGTCTTGCTCCATGACCTTGCTTAGCAACAGCCTGTTTACCTTTCAGCTTCCTACCAGTGAGTCCTGCAAGCCAGTCAGTATCAATAGGACATCTTTATTCTTAGTTTTTCCCCCCGCTGGTTTCTACCGTTTGGTTCAGTTCCTTCCTTTGTCTGGTGGGTAAAAAACTGTGCAAATAGACCCAAGATGCTTGTTCAGGCTCCTTTGGCTAAGACCGAGCCATCAGATAATCTCAAGCAGGTTCCTAAGCCTTGGCAGTGTTCCCGAAACCATTTTGTTGTAATTAAAGGAGTGTTTTGAATAAGGCTTTAAAGTCTGTTTCAGGCTCAAAAGCTACTCATTTAAATCTGCAAAACTTTAAGACACAAAGTATCTTATATGTGACTCGGAAACAAGACATACAGGGGCTTGCAAAAGTATTCGGCCCCCTTGAACTTTTCCACATTTTGTCACATCACAGCCACAAACATGAATCAATTTTATTGGAATTCCACATGAAAGACCAACACAAAGTGGTGTACATGTGAGAAGTGGAACGAAAATCATACATGATTCCAAAATGTTTTACAAATAAATAACTGCAAAGTGGGGTGTGCGTAATTATTCAGCCCCCTTTGGTCTGAGTGCAGTCAGTTGTCCATAGACATTGCCTGATGAGTGCTAATGACTAAATAGAGTGCACCTGTGTGTAATCTAATGTCAGTACAAATACAGCTGCTCTGTGACGGCCTCAGAGGTTGTTTAAGAGAATATTGGGAGCAACAACACCATGAAGTCCAAAGAACACACCAGACAGGTCAGGGATAAAGTTATTGGAAAATTAGGCTTAGGCTACAAAAAGATTTCCCAAGCCTTGAAAATCCCACGGAGCACTGTTCAAGCGATCATTCAGAAATGGAAGGAGTATGGCACAACTGTAAACCTACCAAGACAAGGCCGTCCACCTAAACTCACAGGCCGAACAAGGAGAGCGCTGATCAGAAATGCAGCCAAGAGGCCCATGGTGACTCTGGACGAGTTGCAGAGATCTACAGCTCAGGTGGGGGAATCTGTCCATAGGACAACTATTAGTCGTGCACTACACAAAGTTGGCCTTTATGGAAGAGTGGCAAGAAGAAAGCCATTGTTAACAGAAAACCAAGAAGACCCGTTTGCAGTTTGCCACAAGCCATGTGGGGGACCCAGCAAACATGTGGAAGAAGGTGCTCTGGTCAGATGAGACCAAAATGGAACTTTTTGGCCAAAATGCAAAATGCTTTGTGTGGCGGAAAACTAACACTGCACATCACTCTGAACACACCATCCCCACTGTCAAGTATGGTGGTGGCAGCATCATGCTTTGGGGGTGCTTCTCTTCAGCAGGGACAGGGAAGCTGGTCAGAGTTGATGGGAAGATGGATGGAGCCAAATACAGGGCAATCTTGGAAGAAAACCTCTTGGAGTCTGCAAAAGACTTGAGACTCGGGCGGAGGTTCACCTTCCAGCAGGACACGACCCTAAACATAAAGCCAGGGCAACAATGGAGTGGTTTAAAACAAAACATATCCATGTGTTAGAATGGCCCAGTCAAAGTCCAGATCTAAATCCAATCGAGAATCTGTGGCAAGATCTGAAAACTGCTGTTCACAAACGCTGTCCATCTAATCTGACTGAGCTGGAGCTGTTTTGCAAAGAAGAATGATCAAGAATTTCAGTCTAGATGTGCAAAGCTGGTAGAGACGAACCCTAAAAGACTGGCAGCTGGAATTGCAGCAAAAGGTGGTTTTACAAAGCATTGACTCAGGGGGCTGAATAATTACGCACACCCCACTTTTCAGTTATTTATTTGTAAAAAATGTTTGGAATCATGTATGATTTTCGTTCCACTTCTCACGTGTACACCACTTTGTGTTGGTCTTTCACATGGAATTCCAATAAAATTGATTCATGTTTGTGGCTGTAATGTGACAAAATGTGGAAAAGTTCAAGGGGCCGAATACTTTTGCAAACCACTGTATGTTAAACATGGAGGCATGTTATTCCTCAGTAGAACAAACTCCTCTTTTCATCCAATAAAAAAAGAAAAAGCATTTTGGGTTACATATGTCTTCTTCTTTGCATAGTAAACCTTCAATTAATGATAGAGATTTGTCATTAGCATGGCAAATTAACATTACACAGAATCCTTTCTGGAAGTATTCTTGAGCCATGCAATTATTCCCATGAGAGAGTCATCCAAGTTTTTAATGCAGTGCCACCTGAGGTCTTTAAGATCATGGAATCTAGTTTTAATTTTCTCCCTTGTCCACAGAGATTTATCAAGATTCTCTGAATCTATTGACAATATTGAGTACTCTAGTTGATGACACATTCATCATCTTCAGAATTTTATATAAATATATATTATTCTGAAATGTTTCCACAGTTCCTAGATGCAGTTTTTTTTAGATAATGGTGAAACTCTCCGCTTCTGAGAAACTTTATAGCTAAGATGCCTTTTCATACCTATTGTTGCAAAATGTTCCTTGAGCTTTTTCCATTCAGTAATGATTACTTGTCCACTCCTTTGTCGTCCCATGTTTCCACTTCTTGAGATAAGTTCATGTAATCAAATTCAAAATTAGCTATTACTTTACATCATTTTTATTTACACTTTGCACAGCTCTTTCTCTACTGGACTCACAGACCCAGCCCATTAATTATGCTGAGTGTGGTGCTAACCTCACATCTTTCTCTACAAAGAAATTCGGATATGACACAGATAGGAATGCCTGTCAAAAATGCAAGACATTTCTTCTCAACTGAGACACTGGTCTCATTTTATCTTTCATTTCTTATTTAATGTCTTTTCCTGAAATGCTAAGGAAAGAACTGGCAATCGAAAACTAAACTGGACCTGGACCACCTACTAATAAAAGAGTGACGAAACGTTTCTCCCCCAAAACGCTACGCCCAGATGAACAGAATCAGCTTTTGGAGCTTTTACCAAATTGACCATCCCAGACTTGCCGTAATGGTCTATTTGATTCACCTTTTGTTGTTTATTTATTTTATTTATTTTTTTATTTTCACTTGCTAGATACGGGACAGACTTGAATGAGGAAAAGAAAAAGGAGAAAGGAAGAGGGGGAAAAAACAGTGGAGAAGAGGGATGGGGATAAAGGGCAAAAAAACAAAAAACAACTAAATAAGCAGACAAAAAAAATATACATATATCAATCACCTGGATCACCTGTTGAGAAAGAAAAGAAAACAAGCAGAAGAACATGAGAGCAATACAATAAACAACAATGATATATGGGAATATTTTTCTTTCTCTCCCTCTCATTCTTTCTCCCTGTCCTGACCCCCAGTCATGTCTGTCCAGTCTTTCAAAAACAAAAATAAAATAAATACATAATTATAATAAAGGTCAATCAAATGGACCAATATGGCAAGGCCATGATGATCCACTTGGTAAAGTAAATCCACTTGGCATCTTTCTTGGCCTTCAGACAACAATTCTGATGGCTAAAAAACAAAACAAAACAAAGAAAGCCTTACATTAGGGAGAAAAACACGTCGGGGGAGAGGGTCCTCGGTTCTCCAGTTAGATTGTACTTCACGGCGTCATGTTTTGCCATGACGGGGTTATTATTGGAGTAAATGGATGGCTGGAGCCTCTGCTCGAAGTGTCTCTTATCGCTGCGAGCGGGTTCACATTGGAGTGAACTGAGAAAAACATGGAAGGGTACCTTTTGCGTTAGCATGAGAATTTTAGGGACGTTACAAATCGTCGCTATATTACGAGTAGGGAGTGAAAACGGGTTGAAGACCAAGCAGACATGGAGCACAGAGAGAAGAGTAACTAGACGTGAGACGTGGAACGGGGGAGGGCAAAGTTACAGAAAGTAAGAACATAACCAGTGTTGGTCAAGTTACTTGAAAAAGTAGTCCTGTTACTTTACTGATTACTTGAAAAAAGTAATCAAATTACAATAACGCATTACTTTTAACGCATCACTGCCCATCTCTGAATTTGACATAAGCAGAAAACAATATAGTGACTCAAAACCATGAAAATCAACAAATCCAAGAACATAACTGATCAAAAACGCAGCACACAGACCCAGTACTGTGACAGATCTGTCTCCATAAAAATTTTCTGGTGAATGCCTGTCAAAGATACAAGACATCTCTTATCAGCTGAGGCACTGGTCTCATTTTATCTTTTTCTTATTGCATGTCTTTTCCAGAAATGCTAAGGAAAGAACTGGCAAGAATTGGTCTACTGAAGAAACATTCTCATCATGATTACTGTGAGAGCAAAACGTCAGAAATTATTTTAGATCTTCATAATAACGCTGATTATTTAATGTCCATAAACTCAGCTTCTCCTTTGTTTTATGGGGTTTTTTTTTCTTTCCTGAAAATACTTTCTTAAATATATAAAATGTTCTCCATTTATACTATGGAGTGTTGACCAGTGTTTGACTAGTTGTTGACTAGTAAAATTAAGTGGGCAGCTGGAAGAAGTAGTCAGCATTTGGCAATAATTTTGGTTTTGGTTGTGAAAGAAAGAAGTGCAGTAAAAGTCTGGCCAGCATGAATCACATAATACACGTGTCATTTTTTTCAATGTTAGTTCCCTGTTTTGAAACTACAAAGAGACAGAATATAAGCCGTGATCTCAGAGCTGTTCAGCACCTTGTTCCAACCTTGGAAGGCTGAAGCTACTGACTGAACAGACAAGATATTCTACAAAAGGTTGGCTGAAAACTCAGATTCCTTCTGTGCTTTGTTTAATGAAGTGCTAATAACTTTGGGTCTTTTGTTGTTCACAGAGATACTAATTATCACCATGAAGCTGCTGACTGTGTCTGCACTTCTTTGTGCAATGATCGCTCTGACCACTGCTGCCAGTGAGTATTGTAGTATAATATAGATAACGTATATATGTGTGGAATCAATAATACAAACAACACTTATAATATCAATATTATAAATGGAAATTTACCACTAAAATTTATCAAAATTATAACTTTTTGTCATGCTGAAGAGCACATCTATGTCCTCACTTGTATGCTTGTATGTAATGTATGTATTCAAATGTTATGTTTTACCAGTGAGAAAATAAAATATTTACAATTTATGTATACATTATATATATATATATATATATATGTATATATATGTATGTATATGTATATATATATATATATATATATATATGTGTGTGTGTGTGTGTGCTTGTGTGTGTGTGTGTGTAAACACATTTACACATGGTTTGAAAGACAATTTGTCACGGGAGTGGAACGGACTCAGGCGCAGACTGAGGTAGCACAGTTCAACGACACTTTATTAATCACACTGGTGCACTATATACACGTGAAGGGGGGGGAAACACCAGGGTCCCGGGGATCACTTGGCTGGGGAGACACACTTCTTCGCACTCGCTCTGCTCCTCGTCCAAACAGTCTCCACACAAGCAGCTCAGCTCACTCTCCTACTCACGGGGTCCAGAGGTCACAAAAGGGCTGATCCAGGCAAACCTGTTTACACAGACGAGGGTAAGTCGAAGGCAAACACGGGAACAGTAGAATCGCAAGGAAGCCAGGCAATACTAACGAGAGTTACTCAATATTCCAGCGACGAACAGCTCAGAGCCCCAGCCTTAAGAGCCAGAGAACTGCAATCCGCTCGAGATCAGCTGCAGGTGCGTGGGCCAAGGGCAGGAGCCCAATCAGAGCTCCGCCCAGGCAGACAGGTAGGAGAGACAGAGTGAGAGAAAAACAACAAACACTTGTGGCCACACTGGGCTGGCCGGGGAGGCACAGGGACCATGACACAATTACTTTTTTGTAAATAGCAAAGATAATTGATGTTTGAGTATCTAAGTAGTCTTTGCTTGTCCTCAGGAGAGCATCTTGTTGAGAAGAGATCTCCATGTTTTAGGAGCCTCTGGGGTTGGACTAGATATGGAAACCAATACTTTCACTTCTTTCCCAATCAACTGACTTGGGCTCAGGCGCAGGTAAGAACAGTGATTTCGATTTAGCATTTCTCTCTGCTTTAATACTTTTCATATCAAACTTGGTTTCAACTAGACCTTTTGTCCTATAGAGACACTGTCAGTCCCTGAATGCAAATCTGGCGTCTGTGCGCAACCTCGGAGAGTACCAAGCGATTCAGAGGGTCATACTTAATGGTGCTCGTAATCATGTCCCTACATGGATTGGAGGCTCAGATGCTCAAGAGGTACACTACTCAATATTAGACATTAGTTCTGACACTAGAGGATATGCCTGCCTATCGACATTATTCTCTGTTATTTTTTTGTGTTTTCTAGGAGTGTTATTGGTTTTGGATCGATGGAACCCGTTTCACATATGCAAACTGGTGTCATGGAGAGCCTAACAATGTCGGGGGCAGAGAGAACTGCCTGCATATGAATTGGACAGGTAAAATTTAAAAGAAAGTGTATGAATTCATTTTGAGGGGAACAAAAACTGTTACAGTATCCACATTTTCTCAAAAAATGCTTATCATTTGGTGTGATAAATAGCAGTGACTTACAGGAAAATAATATGAATTCTAAATTTTATTTTTAACAGAGACAAACTTTGTGTTTTACCATAATGAATAAAATAGATTGCTGTATTTCACGTCTTTAAATTTAAAGTAAATTTACATAGTGCTGTGAAAGTAGAGTCAAAAATGAATATTGACAGGTGCTCCTGCTATTATGCAAACTAAATATTTGTGTCAGTATAGACGTCCATGTGAGCATGGCTTCACTTAATGTTCATTTTTGGTGCTTACAGGAAACCTCTGTATGAATGACATACCCTGTGACGCCAGATACCCATTTGTCTGCGCCAGGAAAGTCAGACGATCTCTGGAATGAAGGCTTGGTTCACCGGTCTTTAGAGCAAATAATCTCATAAATCCAGCTTAAAATGTTTGTCTTCTTACATCTTTACTTCTTTTTAGTTCACCGCAATGCTACATAAGGAATGAGTTGAAAAATGATGCAACCTGTAGATGGATTGTCTCTTTTAATAAGAACAAACTGAGTGTGTAATGGAAAGAATGCTTTAAGCTTTCACTTTACTTCCCTGAATGAACATCATCTTCATTATTAAACCTTTAAGCATTGAATCAAACTGGTCTCTGAGTCTTTGTCACATTTTCATAGGAATGCTCCCAAAATTTCATCTTTTGTTTTTATGATGAGGTGATGGTAAAGGAAGAATTTGAAAAGAATAGATGTGTCATGGTGTACTGTGTGGCAGGCAGGATGGAGAACCCAAATGCAGGACTCTGAAACAGAAGGTTAAACTTAAAGCGGCAGCGTTTATTAGTGGGAGAATTTTCATAAAATTAAACCTCACAAAAAAACAAAACCACAAACTGGAAAAATAGAAACCAAACACTCAGAAACTAACACAAGCACGACAGAAACACAAAGCATGAAGAGGATACAACACAACAGTGACTGAGAGAAACACAGGGCTTAAATACACTGAGGGAAAACGAGGTTTGAGACTCAGGAGGGAAGCACAGCTGGAAGAATCTAGACTTAATGAGACAAGGGTTATTAAAACTAGACTCAATGCACGTAGGACTGGGACTATCAAAATAAAACAGGAAACAAGAGACAAGTCACAAAGATGCAGACTTGACACAGAGAAACAGACTGAAAGAATGTGACACATGGAACACAAGGAAGACAGTGTCTGAAACTAGACGCCAGAAGAACAACAACTAATAATAATAAAGAGCACAAAACTGTGAATAACCAATAATCAAGAAAAAGAACTCAAACACAAAACACTGGTTAACACCCAGTTCCATGACAAGATGTAATATTTTATGAAGGGGTGCATTTTATTTAGGCCTTCATCAAGAGGCCTTTATTATTCATGGTGTTCAGTAACATTATTTAGTTATGTTTCCTTAGTTGTTGTTTTTTTGCCCATATAGAAAGTATTACACGTATTTTTGGTCAAGTAACTAACAATTTCGAAATAATATGATGCCATATGATTCTTTTCTAGCAAATAGCTAAAAAAGAAAGTGCCACCACAACAATATAAAATGAGGTGGCCATGGTCTGATGTAATGCACTGCTTTTTATGCTAGGTGTGAGCCTGTTGTCTAAGAAGTGTGAAAAGCGTCTGGACTTCTTTAACTTGCTTGAAGACGTTTCACCTCTCATCCGAGAAGCTTCTTCAGTTCTAGGGTCAAATGGTGGCGAGTTCCAGATTTAAGCCCTGTGGGAGTTTCCCCAGAGAGAGACAATGGACCCCCTCATGATCCTCTACCTAATCACATGAGCTCATTGTGAAATTTAGCCCCACCCTATCATGTGATTTCCTGAGGTCAGATGGCCCAGGATGTGAGTGGGCGTTAAGGCGTCTGGGAAGGGATCTCAAAACTGGATTATAGATGGCAGACAGTTGGTGTCGTAAACCACCGCCTCTTTTCAAAGATGGTCGCTCACAGTGAACATAGATGGCTTATTTCACTCCTCTTTTAAACCATCTGTCTTCTCTGTCCAAAATTGGGAACATTGGGATCCTCAAAAGAGTGACCTTTGTCCTTTAGATGCAGATGGACCACTGAGTCTTGTCCCATTGAGCTGACTCTTCTATGTTGTACCATGTGCTTGTGAAGTGGCTTTTTGGTCTCTCCAATGTAGAGGAGTTCTGTCTTTGGGATGAACCATTTTTTTGTCCGAGTGTGTTGCTGGGTCCTTCACTGCTCACATTGACGCTGTGGATAAAAGCATCAAGTTCACCAGGGAAGACACAAAGGATAACAGCACGATGACCTGGATGACTAAGAGCCTTCACAGACACCTCATGTACATTGATGTCTTTTGTTTAGAAAACCTTAAGTTGTAAAACAGTTAGCTGCAGTCCATCTTACCAAAAAAGAGTAACCTCCCTGGTAGTTCACAGAGTTTTATATGACCATCTATAAAACTTGTTGAAACTGGTGGGGAGAAGCTGCTTGTTTTGCAGGCCCTGAGCTAAGAGGTGGCCATGATGGATATCAGGCACCAGTTATCATATCTACTGCTGCTGCTGCACATTCCTTTATACTGATATATCTGAAGGTTTCTAAGTAATTATTCAATCAGTAAACTTAAGATTCTATTAATCCCAAATAAAAATAAAAGCCAACAAGCCCATCCAGACTGTAACCACCAGTCATTATCCCATATGTGAATCTTGGGTCAGCTGGAAGGAGATATTTACTTAATTTCCAGATGTGTAACAATGATATGTTAAGACCCTGTGGGTAAATCTTTAACTCTGTTCAACAGTTCAATTTAATTTTATTCATCAAGTGCCAAATCACAATTGTGCTGGGTTAAACTTTTAGATGTTTTTCTTGTGTGTTCACAGACTTTCCAAAAATATTTGCACTGAAGTATTTGGCCATATGATGGGGCTGTTGATGTCAAAATTATATACTCATCTGCACCACAACACAAAACATCCAATGCATGACACAATGATTACCACAATACTAGACATAAAAGTTTTAGTAACATTTGTCTACAAAGGTTTTCAGCTTTCAATGCTGCTTGTCACAGAATGAGAAGATAAATGGATTTGTAAATGTAGGTTTCTTTTTTTAAGTACAAAGACAAAAGGGTCGGAAAATTAGCAGTGATGGCGAAATGCATGAAGTGCCAAATAACTGAGGCTGAAACCACATGTCAGATGTAAAATTCACCAGTCATTGGGGAGACCGTGGCTCAGGGGGTTGCCGGTTTGATCCCTGGGTGCTCTGTCCTGGTCGTTGTGTCCTTGGGAAAGACACTTTACCCTACCGCCTACTGAGGGGCCGATGGCACGATGTGGCAGCCTTGCTTCTGTCAGTCGGCCCCAGGGCAGCTGTGGCTGCAACCGTAGCTTGCCTCCACCAGTGTGTGAGTGAATGAATAGTGGCATTGTAAAGCCCTTTGGGTGCCTTGAAAAGCGCTATATAAATCCAATCCATTATTATTATTTTTAGAGAGAATGTAGAAGTGAACGTTTACCACTTATCAAAGTGTTTGTACTGTGACTTGCTTGGCCTACTGGTACTCATCAACTGCCTGTCAAGTCCTACAAGCCAGTCAAGCTGTCTTCTTTTTCAGCTTGATGTCTCCCTTTGTATCTTTTTCCCACTGTTTGAGTTGACTCCATCCCCAATTGTGAGGTGTCATTTCATATCCCTAAAGCAAGTTTAACCATCAAGGGTTTGGAATGAATTAAAAAAAACTGCACACAGTACAGTATGTGTCCATATGTGTTATTAGTGGGTGATCATGTGTCAGTGAGTGAAAGGGCTGTATCTGGGGCCTTACTGAGCTTTGGCCCCTGTGCTACATGGTCAAGAGGGTGGGGTACACTTCCTATTACTCTGCATGGACCCTGTTATCACTCCCTTGGATGTGGGTACTTGTTGGTTTGGGGAGTGTGGCTGGATGTTCTGGTGTGATCGTTGACCCCCTCTCTTGGGGGCCTCTTCTAAAATGTGTGCAGCTGTTATTGTTCTGAGAATTTATGGTAAATGTGATGTTATACACCCATGAAGAATGGATGGCATTGCAAAACTGGATTTGCTCTTATTCTGAATTCCCTCTTTATTCTGGTACAAAGATAACAGCACACAATTGTCATCAACTGCCTCGCCTCTGTCAGTGCGCCCCAGGGCGGCTGTGGCTGTAGCTTGCCATCACCAGTGTGTGAATGTGTGTGTGAATGGGTGGATGACAGGTTGTGTAAAGCGCTTTGGGGTCCTTAGGGACTAGAAAAGCGCTATACAAATACAGGCCATTTACCATTTACCATCAACAGTGTGTCATGCAACTGCTACATTCAGGTCTGTTAACTAGGATTAGAACACTTACAATCTAATGCAAAACATTAGAACTAGGGGCAACCAGAAAGCTAACCAAAAATGCTACTTGTGAGTGAAGTTACTGATCAACACATTCTCACTCCCAAATTTTAATATTTTATGCTAGGTGACAAATCGCCAACATATTACGCTTCCAACACCCTGAATGACGAGATTGGAAAAATTAGGAAACATGAGAACCCTTTGGGATCAATCTTCACATGTTCGTTCATTTTACTTAAATCGCTTTGAAAAACACTATTTAATGTCATCAAAGTGCTGGTTAAGGTTAAGGATAAGGTTATGGTCAGGGTTGGAAAACATGCCTGGAACGCGCATTACCCTGGGACCGTAATTCCACTGGATTTCACCCATAACCCAGCGCGTAGCATAAGAACATGGAAGGTCACCTTTCACGTTCCTCAGGAACGCTGCGGGACGTGACAAATCGTCAAGATGTTGCACCTCGAGAGTGAGAACGGGCTGTACTGATAATGCACCAATATGCCTGTAACTTTCAGGGTACATGCCAGTACTGCTTGTAATAAAAAATACATATTAACAATTATAGCTCTCTTAAGATCTCACTGTTGGGTTACTCCTAAATTTTTATCTTGTTCAAAGAGAAGATATAAAACAAAGTTCTAAGCTAATCGACCTGTGTGTTCTCCTTTTTTAAAAACAAGAATTAATAGGAGAATCGATAAAGAATCGAATGGTTAAATAGAATTGAAAATGGAATCGGAATCGTGAAAATTTTATTAATTCCCATCCCTAGTCACAATGAGGCAGTTATTTTGGTGCTGGTTGAGAAATAAAAATGTGCAATGAATGTCTGGCTGACATAGGGCAGTCAATTTTTTTTCAATGTCATTTCCTTAGTTTGAAATTTCAAAAACAGTATATAATCACTGATCTAGGAGCTGTTCAGCACCTTCTCACTGGAAGGCTAAAGCTAGTTTGTGCTGAAAATAAATAAAACAAGATATTCTGCAAAAGGTGGGCTTCAAGCTCAGATTATCTTCTGCCCTTTCTTTAATGAACTACATGTCACTTTGGGTCTTTTGTTTTTCACAGATACTAGACATCACCGTGAAGTTGCTAACTGTGTTTGCACTACTTTGTGCAATGCTGGGTCTGACCACTGCTGCTGGTGAGTATTGCAGTATGTATACTTTTAGTAATTGCAAATGACTAAATATTGCAATATACAGCATGTGTGGAAACATAATAAATAGAAAATTAAGTATCTGCCAACA